CTTTTCTGCATCTCACAAAGACATGGCAGGTGAAACCAAAAGTCTCAAATTTTGACTAATCAGCCCAAAGTTGAGATTTGCACTGGTCTGTCCATTTCTTGTGTTTCTTGGACCAAGCAATCTCTTCTTGTTGTTCTTCATCAGTAGTGGCTTCTTTGCAGCAATTAAACTGTGAAGGCCTGACTCATGCAGTCTCCTCTGAACAGTTAATGTTCAGATGTGTCTGCTACTTGAACCGCATTTGATGGTTTTCATGACTGCACTTGAAGATACATTCAAAGAAGTGAAAAAGTGTCCTGTGATCTGACGAATCAACATTTGAACTTCTTTTTGGAAATCATGGACTCCAGTCTAAAGGCCACTCATCTTATTATCAGTGCACAGTTCAAAAGCCAGTATTCATGATGGTATGGGGGGGCATTAGTGCACACATTGTTTTTGTACTACTTTCAATTAAATATAGGGTTTAAATTATTTGCACATCATTGCATATAGTTTTTATTTAACAACTTTTATATCCCAACTTTTTTGGAGATGGGGTCGTAATAAAAATAAGTTCAATTTGTATAGCACCCTTTCTCAAACCCAGAGACAGTAGAAAATATGAGAGGTTTTAAGATAAGCTTTAGAGAGGAAAATGAGGGACAGTCACAGAGAGATTGTGGTAATGAGTTCTATAGTTTGGGGGCCGTGACACTGAAAGATCTGCCTCCAAGAGTGAACAGTCTAAATTTTGGCTGGGCTAAAAAAAATCTGGTGCTGTACCATGAGCTTTATAAAATAGCAGAAGGACTTTAAACTGGATATAAAGGGGGATGGATCACCAGTGTAACTGAATTGGGGTGATGTGAGCTGATTTTTTAGATTGAGAAGAAGATTCTAACTGCTGGGTTTTGTAAAAAAACTGAAGAGCCTGTGTAGCGGGACAAGGCCTCAAAAGCACCTAATTTCCCACTTACCGTAAGACACGGGTATTTTAATTAAATTCAAGTGAGGGCTTGATCATGGTCCAGGGAACAGAACCAAATTGAAGTTTTTCATATGCACACCATGACAGAAATGACTGCAATAAAGGGTTATTTATTGATAGAGGTATATAAACACAAAGCAATCGATTACAAAGGTATATAGGTGCTAAATATTGGATTACTAGTTATGGAAAGAAACCAGAGATATTGAATATACTGAACAAAAGTACTAAGATTAGCTGATTTTTCAAATTATGTGGCTTTTGAGCAGCAAGCAGAACAACCCTAACACTAGTGTAAAGCTGGCCTAAGTGTCAATAAAGAAAAGCTAAATCACAGTGAGACTGAGACCACAAAAGGGCAGTGCGAGTGAATCTACGACCTGGATGCCTCAGAGCTGCGGTGATGCACGTGTCGCATTGAGGGGAAGAGAGGCCGCTGCTGGCATGGGCTGGAGCAGGGTCCGCAGGTCAAAGGTCAAAGCTGCTGGACGCCTGAGAGCCATGTTGATGCGCGTGCCACGTTGAAGAAGAGAAGCCACTGCTCACACAGGCTAGGAAGGGTTTGCAGGTCAAAGGCAAGGCCGCTAGAGGTGCAAGCCCTCGGTCAACGCTTTGGACCGGACCCCACTGGCAAGGCAGGCTTCCGGCAATGCTTGGCAGCCTCTCCGATGAGGAGCGCAGATCTTCTTCTTGGCAATGGAGGCAGGTGGTGGTCGGAGCAGGCTCTTGATGTGGATTTCAGTCAGCACTGTTTTGCCTCTGTTTCTGTTCTAAAATTAGGTTCTGAGCGGCCTATCGTTGGCAATTAGACTTTCAAAATAGATTGACGAAACTTGAAAAACAAACGCAGCTAGATGCAGCTCTTCAATAGTCTAAACTTACAGTTACAACACTTTAAGATTACTGAGTAAATGAAACAAAACGGATTAAGACACAAGACAAACAACTAACGTAAGATCTGCAGAACTTAGCTAAAGTGCAAAACGAGGAGAATGGGCTTCTCTACTTGGAGTTTTGTTAAGGTTACATGTTGGCTGTCTTGCTCCCTTCGGGGCCAACTTTCCCTGTCTTTCTGTTTCTTCTTCTCGTTCTCCCCCCTGTTTCTCTTTCTTGCTGGCTTTAAAGAAAGAACTTTGAGGGGCGGAGCTAAGGCAGAGCTAAGGCGGGGAAAAGGTTTTGGTTGGTTTGTTAGGTTACCTATAATAAATATGCAATTTCTTTGAATGTTGCTCAAGTGTCACATAATCCTTTGGAGATTCTGGGTGTGGTTACACTTAAGTAAAAGAAGCATGCAATTTCACATATAAAACATTATTGTTTCCATAGTGACTACTGCAAATGACTATGGAGCTTACAGATCATTATCCCTTAACATAAACCATGATATGATTACATGCAATAAGTTGAATCCTTAACCATTCTAGTCATATAAGAAGTAGGAACTACTTAGACAAAAGAATTAAATTGTTAAGACAATTTCAAGGTTATACGTCACATATAAAAGAACATAGTGTAGAAAGTTAGGTATTAATTCCCTTTGGCAGGGATTAACCAATTCACGCCTGACAAGGCAACATGTTAACAGTAACAGAGGTGTTTGATAAAGGAAAGGCATTTGATTGATACTTGATTAAAGATCACATTGTCAATAATTTGCCAGAAAGCAAGGCTCTCAGGAGCCTAGCCTCTGCACAGACCCCAAATTTATGATACTGAAGGAATGCACTTAAGAGTATCTGGCCACACCGAGGGGTCTGCTCAGGGATTTGTGAGGTCTCAACAGTCCCCTCACCCAGAGTTGATTGGTGGGCCATGTTTGGCCTTTGTTTTAGATAAGATGTCTCTCTTTGTGGGGGAAGGTGAGATGTATGGGTGTGAGAGAGAGGGAAAGGAATTTTCAAAAGTCACACAAGTCCAAAATTTACTTCAGTGATGTCCAAAGGTCTCTTCAGGATGTTTATAAAGGGGTGGCATGATGTTCCATTATGTTGCCCTTAAACTGTTAGTCAAAAGAAAAAGAAAGTCTTCAGACCTCTGGGTCAAAGTAGGTCTGTTCTGAGGTGAGCCACCCCCCTCCCCACTTCTGCACCAGGTTGCCAAAGGGGGGGGGGCAGCCAATGGGGGCTGTGAGACGTGTCTTTAGCAGTCAGCCATAAATTTACTATTGGTTCTTCTAAACATCCTGCCGCGTGCAGATGCAGATCCCACTTTGCTCAAAAAGTTCTGATCAGTTTATGAATTAAAACAGCAAAGCACGCTACACCTGGATAGTTTTGTAATTAATATATATGTGAAGTTAATTGCAGTAGTCTAAGCAAGATGACATGACAACATGGGCCAAAGATTCAGTATCTTTTGTCAAGAGCAGGAGGTGAAGATGTGCAATATTGTGGCGATAGAACAAAGCTGGTTTGACCAAAGCACTAATATGAGGTCTGAAAGAAAAACATTTAACTGTTATTGTTTAAAACAACAGTGACACACCTGCAACACAGTATAAAAGTGACCAGATCATGTTAGTTTAGGCTTTGAGAATCAGGCACAGCTATTGGGCAACATTTTAATTTTGTGTACAATGACAGCCAGACAGTAATAAAAATATGAGCTTGTGCCAACCAGGTATGTCATTATGTTTGGTCTGTACCAAACCATGATGTCACGCTTCCGGGTTTTCCTCCCTTGCCTAATACTCTCCAGGACTCCAATTCCCATGATTCCAATCCTGATGATGTCACTCCTTCCACCAATCACACACAGCTTCCTCGTTCTCAGTCACCTGAGTATTAATGCAAATCACCTGTGTTTGTTTGTCCCTGGTTTAAATAGTTTCTGGTTTGTTCTCCTCATTGTGAGGTATTGCCCTTTACTGGACTACTGAACGTTTCTTCTACTGTTTTTCTGACTTGTGTATTTGACCCTTTGTCTGTTTTTTGGATGTTGCATTTTTGTGTTTGCCCTTCTGCTCTGGTTGCTTGTGCATTTTGTATCTTCTGGTTTTTTGACTTTTTGCAAGGCTTTTGGATTCTGATTTTTGGATTTGCCCTCAAACTGTCTGACCATCTTACTGTCTCTCATTAAACCACTTCCTTTTTAAGATCTTTGAGCGTCTTTCTGTGCTTGTGCAGCATTACACATGAGCTATGTATGATAGTCAGATTACCACTATGCAGAAATCTGTTTTATTCACTGCATAAGTAGATTTCTCCTGCTAGCACAACATTAACAGCTGCTCATCAGTGGAAGCTGAACATTGTTATGTAATAACATACGTAGTTACACAGTTTAAACATGGTTTCTGCAGTCTTATAGTGAGTAGATATTTAAATTTACTACCTTCCCTCTTCCATTCTGCAGGCTGAGTTAGACAAGGCAGCACTGGGGTGGTGGTCTGTGTGTATCAACTTCCTCTCAAAAGAAACAGAAAGCAGGAAAACCCTTCTGACATGAACAGAACATATACTGTGGAAATGGCACATCATTAGCACATCTGCATTTTTTAAACTAAACTGAGCATGTCATTTCAAAAAACTCATGTCCACATTTTGTGGACAATTATTTTTTCTTTATTACACGGAAAATGAATTTGCTATAAGAAATCTTTTGGCTTTATTAAAGACAGCCTGAAACAAGTATGGTGACAAGACCTGAAGACATTTTATAGATCAGTAATATTCATACAAACTCTGTAGAAACTGAAATACTATGTACACACTGTATAAATGGTTCTAAATAAAATATACCACTGACTTACTATTGAAAGGATAATTTACATTTAACAAGTCAATTTGCTTTTTTTTATTATTATTATGCATGAATCGAAGTAGAATACTTCAAATTTCCTGCATTTCATTCAATTTAAATCACTTCTCTGCCATCACTCTTTGAGTTTGTGGTAACACCATTCCTTTCCAGACCACTGGAAGCACTACCCCACTTCTGACACCAGTGTGACATCAGCATAGAATAAGACACTGGAAACATCACACTTTAAGTGAAAATGCTCTTTTATTGAAAAGGCAGCAGAGGAGAAGTGGTGCTCAGCATGCTGAAATGGCCGGGAAGCAGACAGGTCACCTCTAGCCATGAACTCTCTGCTCATTGTAAACACTAACACTGCCTAATTACCCACACATATCACAGATTTTAACCAAGCACAACAACTTATTTACAAAATATCTCTCCTACTGAGTCACAGAGCCTCCTGTGGGCCTTTGCAAGTGGCCACTCTGAATAATCTGCCTATAATTCAGATGTTCAAGAGGGTCACTGTGATTATAAAGTAATGTACAGAGATTAAAGTTGATAAACATTAAAAACATAAGCTCAATACTATGAACCAGCTGTAGAGCTCATGATTTTAATGCTTGTAAACTCTATCAGCTGGTTTTGCATGTTCAGCTCATGTTGTTTCCATGACAAATGGTTCTCCTCCCTCTTCTACATACTCATCACCAATCATCCACCAATGTGAGGAGTTTGATGAACAGGTCTCTGAGGTTGCAGTTAAAGGTGTTCAGGAAGTGATGTCATGAGATGATCACACAGTCCTGAGTTGCAGCCATATTCACAGGTTTGACCAATAAGAACCCAAACAAACACAAAGTACCTTGTAGAACCATATACTGAGTGTGTGTTTCAACTAAGACTTCATCCTCTCCTCACAACCCTCTGTGTGTGAGAGCAGATTAGCTGGATGGTGTTCAGATGCTGTAAGACAGAGAAGAGGAGAGAATCATCAGACATGAACTCACATTGATGGGTCAATCAACATCAGCACACCTAGATCCTGTCTGTTCTAAACTCCATCTTAAATATTGGGTTTATCTTCTTACAGAATGACTGAACTGAGCTGAAATATTAACTGAGTATAAACACAACACTAATAATCATATTTCACTGCAATTATATTATTTATATCACAGACTAATTAGTTAGAGCATGTTTGTGCTCCATTTAATTCATATTTGAAATAAAATCATTTTTCTGATTCTTCACACAGAGCACAGTGTTTCTGTGAGTGTGTATGTGTGTGCAAGTGTGTGTGTGTATGAGTGCTTGTGTATATGTGTGTGATTGTGTATATGTGTGTGTGTGTTTGTGTGAGAGAGTGTATGTGTGTGTAGACATAGTAAGTCAGTAACTCACTGTAGTGTCTCCAGTTTACAGTGTGGATCCTCCAGTAGACCAGAGAATAGCTTTCCTCCTGACTTTCCTGGTTTATTGGAGTTCAGATTCAGCTCTCTCAGATGAGAGGAGGGGTTTAATTTTAGAGCTGAAGCAAGAGCAAAACAGCCTTTGTGTGTAACACTGCAGAGTTCCAGCCTGCAGAGAGATGCAGAAAAACTCCTTACACTTACAGATCAACACACACACTCAAACACACACACAAACACACAGAAACATCTCTCTCTCTCTCTCTCTCTCTCTCTCTCTCACTCTCTCTTTCATGTGCATCTGAATACAAATGGTAAACTGTCAGAGACAAAGAGCTACAGTTTCAGAGCAAAACAACTATATTTTATCTCAGTAGAAAACAACTATATTTTATCTCAGTAGAAAAATAAACTTATACTTACAGTTTTTTAGATATTATTATTCATTCAGAAATCATATATTTAAATAGTCATGTATTAAAAATAGTAAACACATAACACTAAACAAAGGGTTGCTGGGTAAAATAATGCACTTTTTCTCAAAACCATCAAACTACCACAAAACACTAAGCAAACACCACAAAGGAAATTTTTCTATCAGACACTACAGCTTACAGTCAGGTAAGTAAATGATTTCAGTCTCTCAATAAACAACAAACCCACAAAACACAGTTTCAGTTTGTGCCTATTTAGCCTTTATTACAGCTGCATTTCTGTGCTTTTTTATCTGATAATACTTAAGTTAAAGCATGTGTTAAAGTGTAAAATTATCACGACTGTCACGCCTTCTGCCGAGGACGCCTCCTCCACCTGTTCGTTTTTGCTCACATCCCTTGTGTCCTTGAGTGGCCCAGAGGACTACAACTCCCATGAATCAGTGGGAGACCACATGATTCCTACTCCACCGCCATCAACCAATAAACATTCTTTTCAGCGTTCAGCCTCACCAGAATTCTAAACTGTCACACCTGTTTTTCATCACAGCTTATTAGCCAGTTTATATATAAAACCTGTGCTTTAGCTCTGAACTTTGCGAAGTATTGCCAACCCTTTTTTGTTGCGTACTGAGCATTCTTTGTTTGCAAGTTCTTTCATGTATGACCTATTTTTTCGTATTTCTGACCTGCCCTTTTTGTGTTTGCCCTTTTTTGGTGTGTTCGATGGATTTGTATGAGATTTTGGTTTTTGAACTTGGACTGGTTTTAACTACTCTCTGGATGTCCTGTTTGTTTTGGTTCTCTTGCTCTCTGGTTCTGACCCTTGCCTGTTTTGACCACGCCCTCTGTACATCCATCAAAACCTCAAGTAAACTTCAACCTTGTCCTTTTATCTGCGAGCATCTGATCTGTGTTGACATTGTAACAATGACAGGGAATCTATTCTTGTTTTCTGGATTTTTTTTCTAGGATTATTAATAAATCAATTTTATATATTTATTTTTCTTGTGATAAAAAATCTACAGTCTCCTTTATCAATGTGTACAGTCAGAATTGATGGCGACTGACAGCTGAGTTAACGGTTGTGCACTATGTATTTATAACCAGTACTGAAAGTAAATATGACTGTGAGAATATTTTATTTCAGCTGTTGCCAAATGTTTCCCTTTTGTTTTACACAGATTTTCAATTCGGTTCTGTGTTTTGAGATCTGTGTTCAATTATTTGATATGTGAAAATGAGCAAAAGCAGCAAGAATGTATTAATATACTTGAAAGTGACAGTGAAGATTAAACTGGCCCAAACTTTATTAAATATGGTTTATAAATCAAGAAAAGCTGTCATATGGATTCCAGGAGTGAGCTTTTTGTTTTTTCTCCAAAATGGATTCCACACAGATATTGCACAGCACTGACAGCACTGTATATAGAAAAATGGAGTCCAACTGATTATTATGGTCTGTGTGTCTAATCTGAGTAAAAAAACTAAGTGAGTCATTAAACCATACAGAGATATGAGAGTGTGTGTGTTCATCTGTCTGTTCCTTTCAGATATCTCAGCTTTTTTGGTTTCTCTCTCTCTGAGCTTTGTCTCTCTCGGTTCTCCTTTTTTGTCTTTGTGTCTCTCTGACTTTCTCTCTTGCTCTCTCTGTGCCGACTCTCTCTCTCTTTCTTTGTTTTCTGTCTTTGTATCTGTCTCACTCTATTCTGTCTATCTTTGTCTCTCTCTGTTCTCTCCCTCTTTACATTTTTTTCTGGCTTGCTCTCTCTGTTTCTCAGTGGTTGCTGTCTCCCTTTCTCTCTCTCTCTCTACTTCCATCATTCTCTTTCTTCCTTTCTCTTTTTAAAGATAGATATGTTTTTGCAGGTTTTTCTATGAAGGTTTGTGAGTGTGTTCAAATAGATCACTGACACACAGTGATACAGTGATGATCTCACCTCAGTACCTCCAGTTTACAGTGTTGATTCTTTAGTCCAGCAGACAGTAGCTTCACTCCTGAATCCTGCAGTTCATTTTTACTGAGGTTCAGTTCTTTCAGACTGGAGGAGTTTGAGCTGAGAGCTGATGATATTCTCTGTAAGATTACAGTAACGCAACCTGGAAGAGAAATGATGATACATCAGAACACTGACATCACACACACACACACACACACACACACACACACACACACATATTCACACAGACTCACAAACATAAATATATGTAAATATACACACAATCACATATAATCACACACATACATGCCACATTCAGTGTGTTTTCTCTCTCTCAGTTCTCTCTCTCTCTCTCTCTCTCTCTCTCTCTCTCTCTCTCTCTCTCTCTTACCTTAGCCTGTTTTTGAATTTGGTTACCGTTTTGCCCCTTTATTAAATTTTAAACCAACAGCCTACTCTGCTCTTATCTGATCCTTCCAGACACCTCACAAAGAGATTAGTTAACCTAACAAATTATTGCTAATAAAATTGTATTTGATTAGTTTGGTCAGCTAGTAATCTTACACTAATACAACAAAAAATGCAGCATAGTTACAAATATTTTTTTAAGTTGAAGGAGCACCATATTTTTTATATAGTGTAGAGACACAAATCAATATTGCACCCTTCAGATTTGAGACCAATAATCAGACTGAAGAACCGACCAACAGTGACTTGTTGATGCTGGTTGCTGCTTTAAAAAAAGCTTCTGATAAATTAGAAACTATTCTGATTTTAATTTATATTTTGTCATAATGCAATTGTGTAATGGAGGTGGACCATCCATGACTAAGCACAGTGAAAGTTCAGCAGCAGCACCATTTCAGAATGTTACCATAAAACATTTTAATAATGGTTTAAAAAACAAAAACATTTTGAACACATATAAAAAATATTCCTGCTGAAAATGTTTTAATAATGTAATATTCTTAGTAAGTCCCGTTTAACTGGATTTAGAGCAGCACAACTTTGTCTGTTCTAACTGATCAGATATCAGGAAAAGTAAATATCGTGACATTGTCATTTATAAAACTCTTGAAATATGATATTACATTTTGCCAAAACCCACCACCACTAAACTGAGCCTCTGACAGTTTGTCAGTAGAGGGACAGACTGGGGCAGAGGGGCCTAAGATAGAGGTGTTGGCACACAGACCACACTGAACTGATATTACCTGTGAAATTCAGGAAACAATAATAGACCATGTGATAAATTATGGAATATCCATGATGGAAGGTGGAAGAAAGTCAAATGGAAATCTATGTCAGCACACTGTATCATCCATTATACACAATTTTCAAAGTCACATAAGGTAAGACTGCCATTGTATGAATTGTCTTCAATAACAATTCATACATGGCAGATATGCCTATTACACATCCCTCTACTGACATCACTGCAGGCCTCCTCTGTGTTTATCATTTTAGACAATGTTGGTTTCCACAATTCTCAATCAATCTCATATCTGTGCAAAAAAATCAAGATGCAGAAACAAATTTTTCCTAATATCTCTGTTGAATTCTCTCTTTTTTAAGCAGAGGGACATTTACAATATAAACTGCCTTAAAACTCATAGTTACAGAACTCTGGCAGAATTCGCTGTCTGATTATTATTTCTCTCAATATTTAAAGTCTATCATTTCATTTACCAGTCTTCCTGTGATAAAAAACTTGTCTACAGTCTCCTTTAGCAATGCGTACAGTCAGCAACTTATGATGACTGACTGCTGAGTTAAAAGTTGTGCATTATATATGTATAGCCTGTGTTAAAAGTAAAGCTGTTTTCAAATGTTTTCCTTTTGTTTGACACAGGTTTCTAATTGATTTCTGTGTTTTCCTGTGAAATCTTGTTAAATGATTTGATAAAATATGTGAAAAATGAGTGAAAGCAGCAAAAATGTATTAAAATACTTGAAAGAGACAGACAAGATCAAACTGAACCAAATTTTCTTAAATATAATTAAAATATAAAGTCAAGAAAAATCTGTAATACAAGTTCCAGGAGTGAGTTTCCCTCTCTCTCCTTCTCTTTTCTTATTGTCTGTTCCACTCCTTTTTTTTTACCTATCTTTCACCTCATGGGTGTATTGGAGTGTCACTCTTCACTGTTTCCTGTTGGCCAATGAGAGAGCACAATAAGATCAAAAGGGGTGGGACTTCCAGTTCCAAAGCTGCGCGGTGCTTGCACAAAAGAACCAAGTTTTTGCAGTTTTTTCTATGAAAGTTTGTGAATGTTTGAATAGATCACTTACACACCATAATATAGTGAGGATCTCACCTCAGTATTTCCAGTTTACAGTGTGGATTCTTCAGTCCAGCAGAGAGCAGCTCCACTCCTGAATCCTGCAGTTTATTGTCACTCAGATTCAGTTCTCTCAGACTGGAGGAATTTGAACTGAGAGCTAAGGACAGAGCTGCACAGCTTTTCTCTGTGAGATTACACTCACTCAGCCTGGGAGAGAAATGATGATACATCCGAACACTGACATCACATGCAATGACACAAAATCTCAAACACCTTCACACACAGACTCACATACACACAATCACATATAATAACATACATGCCTACATTCAGTGTGTTTTGTTTCTCTCAGTTCTCTCTCTCTCTCTCTCTCTCTTATCTTTGACTGTTTTTGTATTCGGTTACTGGTTTGCCTCTTTATTAAATGTTTAAAGCAACAGCCTACTCTGGTCACATCTGATCCTTCCAGACACCTCACAAAGAGATTAGCCCAAAAGAAAGTATTGCTAACAAAATTGATTTTGATTAGTTTGGTCAGCTAGCAATCTTACATTAATAAAACTTTTTTTTTACAGCACAACATTAAACATAATGCATTCCAGCACAGTTACAAACCTTTTTAAGTGGAAACAGCAACACATTTTTTTTAAATTGTAGATAAATCTATTTTAGAATTGATAGATTTAAAAATGTAAAAATTAGAAACTATTCTGATTTTAATTAATATTTTGTCATAATGCAGGTGCATAATGGAGGTGGACAATCCAGATCTAAGCTCAAAGTCCACTGCTAAACAATTGCAGCAGCAACATTTCAGAATGTGATCACAAAACATTTTCACAATTTTTTTCTAATCTGAGAACGTTAAAAAACGTCCTGCTGAAAACATCTAAATAATGTTAGATCATAATATTCTAAGAATGTTATCACTAAAAATTCTTAGAATGTTCACTGAAAACATTAATAGCACATTGCATGGTAAAATTCTCAAAACATTTTTAGAATAAAACAAAACTAGCTGCATCTCTCTGTTCTCTGCATATGTATCCCTCCCTCTCTCAGTTCTCTATTTTGTCTCTTTGTATTGCTCTTTATGGTAGTTTCTCTGTGTCTCTCTGTGTCTGTCACTGTCTTTTTCTTCGTTCTCTCTCTTTGTATCTGTCTGTCTCTATTCTGTCTATCTTTGTCTCTCTGTTCTCTCTCTGTCTGTCTTTCTGTGCTGCTCTTTTTACATTTTTTTCCTGTCTTCCTCTCTGAGTCTCTTCATCTCCCTCTCTGTCTGTTTAAATGTGTTATTGAGTAATGTATTTATAAACCCATACTGATACCAAAGTGTGTGGAGTGTAATTATCTCACCACATCTCTTTCTCTCTCTGAGACTGTCTCTCTCACTTTCGATCTCTCTTTGTATCTGCCTCTCTCTATTCAGTCTTTCTTTGTCTCTCTGCTCTCTCACTTTACATTTTTTCTGGCCTGCTCTCTGTTTTTCTGTGGTTGCTGTCTCTCTCTTTCTACTTCCATCTTTCTTCCTCTCTCTATGTAAAGATAGGGCTGAGCTTTTGCAGTTTTTGCTGAAAGTTTGTGAGTGTGTTTGTATAGATCAATAACATACAGTAATAAAGTGATGATCTTACTTCAGTTTCTCCAGTTTACAGAGTGGATTCTTCAGTCCAGCAGAAAGCAGCTCCACTCCTGAATCCTGCAGTCTATTACTACTGAGGTTTAGTTCTCTCAGACATGATGAGCTTGAGCTGAGAACTGATGACAAAGCTGCACAGATTTTCCCTGTGAGATTACAAACACACAGCCTGGGAGAGAAATGTTGATATATCAGAATACTGACATCACACACACTCACCAACTTTCTTACTGGCAGAGAGCAGCAGGTGAGGTCGGGAAAATTCTCCTCAAACACCCAGATCTTCAGTACAGGCACTCCGCAGGGTTGTGTACTCTCACCATTGCTCTTTTCATTGTACACTAATGACTGTACCTCCACAGACCCATCAGTTAAAATCTTGAAGTATGCAGATGACACTACAGTCATTGGTCTCATCCGAGATGGTGACAAAGCTTGCAGACAGTTGGTTGATCAGGTGGTCCTCCAACAAAAACAGTGGAGATGACAGCCCTAACCCTGCCAGCACTCACCATCCTGGACTGAACTGTGGTGGAAGTAGATTCCTGCATGCTCCTGGGCACAACAATCACCAGGGACCTGAAGTGGGACAGCAACATCAGCTCCATCATCAAGAGAGCCCAGCAGAGCATGTTATTCCTGCGTCAGCTGAGTACGTTCAACCTGCCCCAGGAGCTGATGGTGCAGTTCTACACAGCCATCATAGAATCTGTCTTCACCATGTCCATCACAGTGTGGGGCAGCTCAGCCACCAAGCATGACCTCCACAGACTGCAGCGCATCATCAGGTCTGCAGAGAGGAAAAGTTGCCCACATTGCTGGAACTGCATGCCTCCAGAACCAGGAAGCATGCAGAGAAGATCTCCACTGACTCGTCCCCTCCCCGGACACCACCTGTTCCAGTTGCTTTCCTTAGGCCAGCCCTTCAGCCAGATGAGGATCAGGACATCCAGCCTACAAAGGAGCTTCTTCCCACAAGCCATCACTCTCTTGAACAGTTAAAATATTACACATTAAAATATTCCAGCTTCTAAACTGCACTTCTAAAATACTGGTATATATATCAAAATCAATTCCATTCTCTGAAACTACCATCTCAGACCAGTGTTTATTCTAGCATCTTACTTACCTGCCGTATTACCCCACTTATCTGACTGTCACTTCATTGATCCCTTTCTTTGCCACTATACACCCTTTAACTGCTGCTGCACTCAGCCCTTTAACTTTAGACCCATACTTTGCACAATGTAAAGGTTACAGGTATGACTGTGTGTGTGTGTATTATGAGTGAGTGATGGTAAGAATGTATGTTTTATTTTCATCTTTATTTTAATTTTTTTGTATTTTATCTTATTGCATTGTATCTTATTTTATTCACGACATGTAAATGTTTAATACTGTGCTCTGTGAGCTCCTGTAACCAAAACCAAATTCCTTGTATGTGTAAGCATACCTGGCCAATAAAGCTTGATTCTGATTCTGATTCTGCTCCTCAGGGCCGTACCCTTCCTAATTGACTAGACATATTAATTTTTTTTTAAAATATATTCACCTGAATTCCCACTCCAAATGGAGAATGATCCATATATATATATATATATATATATATATATATATATATATATATATATATGTGTAAAACACATAATTAAATGCATAGACAAACACCATTTTTTATCTCTGTATTTCATTGTGTACTCCCTCTCTCTGAATAAGAAATTAAACATTGTGATATTTAGGATTTGATTTTATATAAAATTAATCACGCTAAGTGGTTTTGTTAGTCACGGTGGTTATTATAATAGAATTTAAATTTAATAGTTTTGATTGTGTGAAAAAGCATAACTAACACTACATCAAACACACACACACACATATGTGTTTGAAGCTGAAAAGAGTAACTAATGAAAATCATTAGTGCAGTTTTATTCAGTGCATTAATAAACAGTGCAGTAACAAATTCATAACTGAAATACTCACACAGCTCTTCTGGAAGCTTTAATGACTGCCAACAGTAACAGAACACATTCATCTGATGGATAATATTTACTTAGGTTAAACTCATCTAGCTCCTCTTCTGAGTTGAGCAACACAAACACAAGAGCTGACCACTGAGCAGGAGAGAGACTGATTCCATAGAGTCGACTATAATAACCTCTGTTCAGGTATGTCGAAACCTCCTCCACTAGAGAATGATCATTCAGTTCATTCAGACAGTGGAACAGATTGATGGATTTCTCTGGAGAGGGATTCTCCCTGATCTTCTCCTTGATGTACTGGACTGTTTCTTCTTTGCTGTGAGAGCTGCTTCTTGTCTGGGTCAGTAGGCCTCGTAAGACAGTCTGATTGGACTCCAGTGAGAGGCCCAGAAGGAAGCGGAGGAAAAGGTCCAGGTGTCCATTCTCACTCTGTAAGGCCTTGTCCACTGCAGCCTTGAGGAAGTCTGACATTTTGGACTCTCTGAAAATACCACAGAGATCAGTGATCAACTGTTTTGTTCCATCTCTGTTGATGAAGGTGAGAAATGCATATAAAGCAGCCAGAAACTCCTAAACACTCAGGTGCACAAAGCAGAACACCTTCCCCAGATGCAGATGTGAACATTTGAGTCAGAGTCTTGGGGATCTCTCCACTCTCTGCTTCACCCAACACTCTCTCTAGAACAGTGGCTGCAATCCAACAGAAGACTGGGATGTGGCACATGATGTAGAGGCTTCTTGAGGACTTCATGTGGGAGATGATTTTATTGGCCAGGCTCTGGTCACTGATTTTCTTCCTGAAGTACTCCTCTTTCTGAGGGTCACTGAACCCTCGTATCTCTGTTACCAGGTCAACAGACTCAGGAGGGATCTGATTGGCTGCTGCTGGTCGAGAGGTTATCCAGAGGAGAGCAGAGGGAAGCAGATTCCCCTTGATGAGGTTTGTCAGCAGCACATCAACTGAGGCTGAATCAGTTACATCCCACAAGCTCTCATTGTTCTGGAAATCTAGTGGAAGTCAACACTCATCCAGACCATCAAAGATGAACATGACTTTGTGAACATCATAATCTATTGATCTTAGTTCCTTAATTTTTGGGAAACTGCGATGAAGAAGCTCCATCAGACTGAACTCTTTCTTTATCAAATTCAGCTCCCTAAAAGGAAGTGGAAATATGAGGAGAATATCCTGATTAGCTTTCCCTTCAGCCCAGTCCAGAATGAACTTGTGCACAGAGACTGTTTTTCCAATTCCAGCAACTCCTTTAGTCAGCACAGTTCTGATGGGTTTGTCTTTAAAGAGGTCATTGCCTTTGATGGGTTTGTCCTGTGTTGCTGATCTCCTGGATGCTGTCTCAATCTGTCTGACCTCATGTTCATTATTGACCTCTCCACTCCCTCCCTCTGTGATGTAGAGCTCTGTGTAGATTTCATTCAGAAGGGTTGATCTTCCATGCTGGAAGATTCCTTCATTAATGCTGCAGAATTTCTTTTTCAGTTTTTGTTTATATACAGTGACCGAATCTGAGAAGTGGAGACACAAGTATACATTTTTGTAATGTTTGTAAATGTTTAAAGTAAATTGCTTTAAAAATGTTTGATTGCCAGATAATGTTGTTAATTCTCTTATGCCTATTTGCACAACTGTAACAAAACCTTTTTTTAAAAAAGTTTACATATAATTGTTTAATATCCTGTATGTAATAGGTTGGATGGTGTATTTCATGGTATATGTGTACTTTAACTGCAAGTGTACAGTACAGACAGTCAGATGTCCATATCTATAGATATGCACATGTCTCTTTAGCTTCTTTCTCATGGCTCTTTTCTATTCTTTATTTTTTACTCTTTGTTCAATGTATTTTATTGTATTTGTCTCTTAGTTAAGTACTTGTTAACAGTCTTTGTTATTGTCTGTTTAGTGCAGGGGTTCACAATTCCAGGGCCGGTGTCCAGCACAGCTTGGTTATTTACCCGCTCC